ATTCCTCCAAGGATTGGCCTATTAAAGTTAGTTTCTTAAAACCTCCCATGAAAATAATTTGTTTACCTACGTCTTCACCTCCTCCATCTGCCAAATTATTTATTTACTAGTGTTAATTGATGTAATGATGTTCCTTCTAAATCTTGCTCTCATACACGGGTGGAAATATCTAGAGTTTGACCCACCCCTTTGATCCATTTATCTATGAACTTATGCCTAAGCATACTTTCTTTAAATTGGAGGTTTTGCCACACTATTTCAAGTTGCTCTGCACTTCTCTACTACTTTTGATCTGTTAGCTTCAATACTTCTAGCCACCAATAATTTGATTTTGTTTTTCATTTTTGGGCCAATCCACCCAAAAACCTCTTTGTTCAATATTCTTAGTCTTTCTTTGAGTAACATAAGTTTCTCCTTTATCACAAAATCATGTTTTCCTACAACATTAAAAAATTCCAAGTTTCTTCTATAAATGGAGTGAATTTCTTATGATCGTACCAACAAATGTTTACTTAAATGGTTTTGGTCCTCAGTTCGCTTTGCTCTCATTGATATAAATAGAGCAATAATCATAAATGTCTCTGATTCCCACACATTGACCAACAACATTCCAAATCTCTATTAAGCCTTTTGATAGTAGAAACATGTCCAACCTACTCATGGAACTTCCATCCATATTATACCATGTATTTTTTATTTCTGATTAGTGCTACATCCTCTAATGAAGTCCCTGAGTTATTGGATTTTACCACTTCTATGTTGGGTGCTAACACATTTTCTTTCCTTCATATTTGTGATTGCAATGAAGTCTCCTCCTATACACTAATATCCTTGTCTACAACTCCTTTTATATTTGGTCAGCTCTTACCCAAATTTTTATCTTCATTTGGATATTGCACGATGAATTGACAATGTAATACGTTGATCCCCGCTAATCTACAGTAATCCCTATAAATCCTTCTCCAATAAAAACTAAGTTTAAGGAGAATAAATCGGCCTTCCACATAATCAAGAGACCACCTGACAGCCCACGCGAGCATTTTGCAGTCCATTCGACTACACCTTGTTTCCCCATATGCTAGCTGTCGTATTATTATATATAATTTGAAATTTAGTCTCTTGTAGTAAGAAAACATTAACCATATTTGAACTTAGGTTTTGTTGCATTATCTTCCTTTTAGAATTATTACCATTCCCTCTTATATTGAAGGATATAATATTCATGATTCCCTAAATTTTTTCTTCTCACTCTTTCTTTTTCCCTCTTGATCTCTAGCTTCCATCTCTTCACTCTCTGATCATCTAACACCTAAATACTGCACAACTTTCTAAACCTTCCCCGCCATAGTCATCTACCTATTGGACCTAAACACTTATTACCTTAAACCACACTAGAATTATCATTAGATTCACAACATAACACCAATCCATCAGATGATTGATCCACGCGCACATCAGATTAAGATAGGGATAAGGAATTTTTATTTGATTTTGTGGGTAGTATGGTTACAAAGTAGGAGGGTTGTACTTCTCAATTTTCATTGTTATAAGGGTATGGAAGAGATGTTGCATGCAATGGAATTATAGAGATACTATTGTTATGATTTATGCCTTATACTCCTTGAGGATACTGTATTCTTATTGTTTAGGGATCCTTTTGTGTTTTTAGGCTAAGCCTATTTGTTCTCTCACTTGACCCTACACTTATTTTAGGGACTCATATTCTTTTGACTGGGGACCAATGTGTATGTTAGATTCCTCACTAATTTTACTTAGATGGGGACCCTTATGTTGGCTTTTCCTCTTCATCTACAATCTTTTTGTCTTGACATTCATTGGGCAGCTCCCCTGTCAGGTGCTTGACCTTGGTATTTAATGAATTCAATTATTGGGTTCCTATATTCATCAAAACCATTGGGATTAAGTTATTATTCTTTGCATCTATGTATACAACTAATGTTCTCTTCAAATTTTCCTCAATCTCCATGTCATTATTAATGTTAATAATGTGAATTCTACCATGCTCTCTACCTTTGTCACCCGACTCTTCATCTTCACCACCATCCCATTCTCTGGAGCTATAATTTGAGTCCAACTTTGCCCTTTTTTCATCAATGTTATTTGGGATCGATATCTGCATTGGCCCATCGGAATCTTCCACTACTTTGATCCGAAATTCATCGCCGTTGACATGGAAATTAGAAACTTCTTTTAACACCACACTCTATTTTTTCTCACAAAAATACGAGCCACATCCATATTTGTTTAGTTTTTTGTGTTATCGTCAGAACAAATATATGTTCTCATTGGAGACGTGATGAATTAAAATAAATAAATTCGGTGTCCATGCATGATAGGATATGCCATACCATCTAATCCATGGTACTCTCTCACTATCGACATCATATGGCCTTCATTATATGATATTTGAAAACCACTGCCCAACCCAATCTTTAACTTATACTACAAGTGATTGTATCTCTCCAACTATCGTTTCCTCACGCAGACATAAGTTTTCCTATAAGTGGTTAGCTTTGATTGATAAGTAACCTTCAGTATGAATTTCCTCTTGAATATTATATGTCATCTCTGGGTTTTCTAATTTTCCATGTCTTCATTAACTTGGAACTTCAAATGTTCATATAGGAGTTTCATGTTCTTGGGCCTTTTGAATATGGATCTACTTTGAAAGTTGTTATTTTTCACCATTTCGGTGTATGACCTATGCTCTTTCCTGACACCTTGCATCCTTTGTTCTGGCTTCTTGCTCATTCTTTATGGTTCATCCTATGAATTTTATATATATATATATATATATATATATATATATATATATATATATATATATATATATATATATATATATATATATATATATTCTTCCTTCTTTTTCTTTTTTGTTAGGCTGATTTATTATCATAGTCATTTGTCTTGATGCTTGCTTCTTGCTTCCTTCCTTGAGTTGTGCCATTTTGTTGTAACTCCTTTGAAATCGTCGGATATTAACATATATATTCCTATTTCTAATGATGATATTATCTATTTTAATTGCAAAAAATTTCCCATCCTTCACGATGAAGAGTCTGGAAAAGCCATATTTTCCATGTTTGTCTCTTTTTGGAGAGATCACTACTTCATCTACGTCTCTATATTCCATAAATATTTCATTCATCTTATTTTCTCGACAATTTTCTAAGATCTCTATAAAGAAGAAACTGGTGCTCATGTCGCTTCTCCCCCCTCTTTTCGTCCCTTCCTTCCCTCCCTTAGCATCCGATTAACTTTTTCCTCCCCGATTATTCCACTGATTTTTACCTTCCCAATTGTGATATTGTATCTTGATACTAGCTTCCATTCTTCCACATCTTTCCATCCTTTGACATTTACACTTGCATGCTTATTATTCCATCCTCCCCTTTCACGAACACTCATGTTGCATGTTCATGTTGGATTTATTTTCCAAGTTAGTTCCTCTTTACTTTTGTTTTCACTTTTTTTATTCCACCTTCTTTGAAATGCTACAATAAGAACAACTGAAGGCGTGTGAGATCGTACAATCTCAACAGTTATATTGTGATCTTGACAACCATAATTTATATCTTAAATATGTTAGATCATCAATTTTAGGGGGTCAACATGAGAAAGCATTTTTCATTAGGGTCTTTCTTTATGAACAACACATCTTGTGAGAGATGCACAATATACTCGCCTTAAATCTTAAGATGATAAGTGTGAAGATCCTCTTACTTATAAAATGTTCAATCTCTATTTTACTAATCAATGTGAGACCTCTTCTTTGGTGATAGTGGACTATATTAATTCATGTCTGAATATTGCAGTTTTAGCTCTGATAGCAGCAGATTGTAGGTTTCTTTTAAGCAAGTTTAACTTAGCATTTGTTGTGTTTATTCCTAGGAATTTGAATGTTGTAGCCCATGAGCTTGTAAAACTTGATCAATCTATTGGAAATCAGACGTGGTTGGGATCTTGTCCTTATCAGTCTGTTCCGAATATTGGCACTGATTTTTCATTTCTTTAAATGAAATATCGTTTCCATAAAAAAAAATCAATGTGAGACCTCTCTACACTTATTTTTCAACACTTCCTAATCACACATGTTTTTCTCAACAAAATAACATCTTGAAAATATATGAAATGTCCTAATTTATAATCATAAAAATTTTAAATTTTAAAGCATACTCACTTTCTATACTTAATTATAATTTAAAGATATTAAGATATGAGATAATGTAAGTTTCACCATCAATATAAAAGACTCTAGATCCAAAAACAATATTAATATTCAAAATATAGGTTACAAGGGAAATTTAAAATTTTAACTTTTCAATTATTTATTGTACATTTCACCATTAATTAAAATCATTGAACTTTTTGTACAAAACTCTATTACATATGAGTACATAAAAAATTAAACTTTTTTATTTATGTAGAAATAAATTTATATTATCATTTTAAGCTTTTTTATACTAGCTCCAATAAATAAAACCAGTAGCTTCAAAATGAATCTAGACGTAAAAAAGTAACTTCAAAATGTTTCCGTTTATTACGAAAGCAAAGATAACAAGAATTGACCAAGTAAATTTAAGTATTTTGTCAAAAGAAAAATGGCACCAACGTAAAACTCAAACCAATAAAAACTTTTTCTATGTCTTTGAACTCAATTAAAGCTTGATTATCAATGTTTTACACTATAGTAGTTTTATTTTAGTGGCAACAATAGTAGTAAAAGAAAGACTTTCTTCTTTCACATTCTTACCCAAAAAAAGATAACAAAAAAAAAAAAAAAAAAAAAACTTCATACATAGGTGTCTGATTGTCCCGTTTTAACGCAAATAGCTTTTCTCTCTCAAATTCTTAACCACTTATTTTTTCACACTTTCTTTCTCCAACTTCCTATACTTTCTCACTTCATTTTCTGCTTTCAGCTTCTAAATTAACCTCACAATTAACACAAACAAACATCACCTCGTACGTAACTCATGGAAGCTCAAGAGTTTTTCCAAACCAGCTTTTTGCCGCAGTTTCCTTCTTCCCCGTCCGACAATAATTTGGCGACAACGAATGTAAACGGTGGTGGTGGTTCTGATCACTTCATTGTTGAAGATCTGTTTGATTTCTCGAATGAGGATGATGCTGCCATTGGTGACCCTGCTTTTGATTCTCCTCCTGCCATCTCTGATAATTCTCCACCTCTTGAAACTAATGAAAATTCCAATTTTTTCATGGAGAATTCTTGCCAGAATTCTGTTGATGAGCCTTTCTCCGGGGAACTCTCCGTTCCGGTACGTCGGTGTTATATGTATATAGGTGTCTATAATATTTATAAATTTAATTGATATAAACAATTTTAAATTGCCAATTAATCGTGATCATTTTTTAATTGAATTTTAATTTTGAGTTTAATTGTTTTAAAGATAATATATATAAATAGTTGTAATATATTGATTATATAGAAAATTTACGCTCACAATATATATTAATTAATTTTGATATTTATTATTTGTTTTGTTGGTTAGCTTATAGATAAAAATAATAATATTTCAACACAAAATAAATATAAAATAAGATATTAAAATAAATAATTTAAAAAAAATTGTAGAGGATTTTTTTATAAAATAAATATAAGATTATGTTGTTAATTATTTAATTATTTTATCAATTATAAAAAAGTATATTATTAGAAATTTATTTTAAATAAATTTATGTAGTGCGATTTTATAATTATGAAAAATTAGTTATTAATATTTTATATTTTATTACTTAATAAAATAGTAAGAGTGTTAATGAAAGAATTTTATATAAATAATATTAAAGATTTTTCTATGTTTTATTATTAAATAATGTTGGCAAAAAATATAAGTATTGTTCACTATGTTTATAGTGTAAAAAGTAGAATGTGTACTTATAAGACTTTTTTACCAATAATTAAAGTACTTCTAACATTTGCAAACAATTAGCTTGTCTTATTCTTTTATTTAGTTTAGATATGTTCATTAAAATAAATTATATTAGTTTATTACAATGAGAAGTATATAAATTAAACAAATGTCATAATTACACGGTCTTATAATAATTGTCATAATTATAAAAAAATGTTTAAAAAATAGGAGTATTACAATTTTATTTTATATTTAATTCGTACTATCTAACTAATATATATATATATATATATATATATATATATATATATATATATATATATATATATATATATATATATATATATATATATATATATATATATATATATATATATATATATATATATATATATATATATATATATATATATATATATATATATATATATATATATATATATATATATATATATATATATATATATATATATATATATATATATATATATATATATATATAAAGTAAATAATTTGAATTTTTTTGTTAAAGAAATTTGTATTTAATTGTGAGGTAAATAGAGTAATATTATTACTTTTTATTTATCACAACAATTGTTACATTTTCCTAAACATTGTCATATTTATGAAAAAATTGTTTTAAAATTAATGTTAATTTTAATTTTCAAATTTAATATAAATGATTTTTTCTCAAAATTATTATTATGTGTGTAACTTTTAAAATTTAATCTATTATCTCTTAATTTATTGATAATTCTAAATACATTAATATTTAATAATAAAATTTATTATGATACAAAATTTATTTATAGTATTTTATTTAAGATTGTGTGAAATAAGCAAACGTCCCGTATGAGATGGAGGCAAAATTTTTTAATTTCATGAGTTGAGTCATGCGTGAAAAGATAATGAATGAACAAAATAGTGGTTCACTTTCTCTATGTTTAAATATAAAAACTAATTAATTACTAAATAAATTTAAAATATCAAACGCACAAAATAGTGGTTCACTTTCTCTATATTAATTTCTTTTTCAAAAATTATTTATTTGTTTAATATAATCTTGTTAATAAAAATGAAATAAAAGATTAAATTTTTGCACTTTAAATTAATTTAGTTTAATTACACTTTTGATCTTCAATTTTACCTCATTTACTAAATTAATTTTTCAATTATTAATTTAAAATTTTTTGATCTATTTATATTTTTATATTTAAAATTAACAACATTTCTACTTTTAAATGTAAATTCATAGTTATCATGAATTTTGATTAGATATCAATATTTTAGACAAAATTTAATTTAATTTTTAATTAGTAATATAGTATTTGATGATTTAATATTGCGTAGGTATCTAAGAAATCGTAAAAATATCAAAGTGTCAACTATTTTTAAATAATATGTCATTTAAAAATATCATATACTAATAATGTTAGTAGAACTTGAAGATAAAAAATATATGAATTAATATAATTGAAAAATAAACATATCATCAATTTTTAATATAAAAGTAAAATAAAAATATTTATTAAAAAATAAATATATCATCAATTTCTGAGTATAAAAATTTAAAAATTGATAAAAATTATTTATTTTGAAAATATGAAAATTTTAATTTTATAAATAATAAGGTAAAATATGAGGATAAAATTGTAATTAATCAAACTTTTTTTGTATAGTTGTATCCGATCAAAACACACTAAACAAACATTATAAAAATATTTGTAAAATAATATAAATAAGCTAATTATTGTTTTGCTAATTATACTTTTAGAAATTTTATTGAATATATAAATAAATATATAAAATAATAAACATTTAAAAACAAAGTATAATTTCTTATAGAAAATAAAAATAAATTATCATTTTAATGTTGATGGCCTTAAATGATTATTTTTTCATGCTAATGACCTTAATATTTAAAATGATTATCTTTATGTTAATTGTTGGAATAATATAGTAAGTGTGAATAAGTAGAGAAATAGTCTCATATTGGATAGGAATGTGAAGACTTAAGCATATATAAGTGGACGAACTCATTTGCCTATCACCTTAAAGTTTACGTGAATAAGTGATGTGTCTCTCACAAAGGTACCTAGTCTTACACTATATATCAATGCTCCTATTAATCTCCTCCAACATAGTATCAGAGACTTTGGTTCAAGAAAGAGATCGAAAGAGACTTGTATCGAAATGCGCCAAAGAAGTGGTGTTCCGTTGCAAGATGTCAATGGCAATACAAGTGAGGGAGCATTGTGGACTCAGACTTGAGGGGAGTGTTGGAATAATATAACAAATGTGAATAAATGAAAAATAGTTTCACATTTGATAAGAATGTGGAGACTTAAGCATATATAAGTGGGAGAATCCACTCACATATCACTTTAAAGTTTTACGTGGATAAGTGATGTGTCTCTCACAAATATGCTTATTCCTACACTATATATCAATACTTTTAGTATCTTCCTCCAACATTAATGACCCTAAAATAAAAATTTTTGATTATAGTTTTTTTTTTAATTATTTAATATAATTAAATTTATATGATAAGTATTTATTTTTAATTACTTGAAATTTACATATGTATTTAAATATATTTTATGTCTTATCAAATTAAATAATACTTAATAATAATATATAAAATTAACTTTTTTTCATTAATAGTTATTGATATAATATTTATTTTATTTTAATTAATAAATATTTTTTTTGAGACATAAAATATTTATTTTCAAATGTTAAATTTTTTTTACAAATATTTAATACAATGGAATCATTATTAACTTTATAATTAAATAATCTATATAAAATTTAATGAATATCTAAAATTATTTTATATTATATCAAATATATTTGTCGGAACAAGTGCAAGGATAATCTTATTTGTTTGTAAGAAAATAATATTCATATATTAAAAATTTCTTTGTTAATTAACATGTATGAATTAATATATTTTTACTTTGTGAAACAGTATGATGATCTTGCGGAGCTAGAATGGTTATCCAAATTTGATGAAGAATCATTTTCAAGTGAGGACCTACAGAAACTAGAATTGATATCTGGCTTGAAGGCATCAAACGACGCCGCATCAAAAACGAACGAAGAATCAAACCCACTACACCCTCCTCAAGTGTCCGTCCCCGCTAAAGCTCGCAGTAAACTACCTCGTGGACCTCCATGCAACTGGACTTCGCGTCTTCTAGTTCTCTCTCCACCCACCATCACCACCACCACCACCGCATCTTCTCACTCAGACATTATAGCTCCACCAAAGAAACCTTCGCCGAGAAAGAGAGACCATGGCAATGATGAAGGTCGCAAGTGTCTTCATTGCGCCACCGATAAAACACCTCAGTGGCGCACTGGACCATTAGGTCCAAAAACACTCTGCAATGCATGTGGAGTCAGATACAAGTCAGGTCGACTCGTACCTGAATACAGGCCGGCCGCAAGCCCAACATTCGTGTTGACGAAACACTCCAACTCGCACCGGAAGGTGCAAGAGCTCCGGCGCCAGAAGGAGATGATGAAGGTCCATCAACACCAAATGTTGCAACTACAAGTGCAACATCATCACAACATTATGTTTGATGGACCATCCAACGGTGATGATTACTTGATCCATCAACACGTCGGACCCGATTTCACACACCTCATGTAGTACAGTGATATAGTTGGAAAGTTAAACTTCCAACGCTGCTTCCATTATTTTTGTAGCTACAATTAATTTTACTTCTTTCTTAATTAATTAATTTTGTCAGGAACTTAAATTTCCTTTTCAGTAACTTTAAATTTTTTTTTTTAGTTTATTATGACTGGTTAAATTAATAATAGTTTCTTTTTAATTTTTTTAGAATGCCTTTTGTTTTTAGTTCTCTAGCAAATTATGTTGCAAATAATTGATCCATGACTTAATAGTATTAGTCACTCAAATATTATACATCATTCCAAAAAAGATATGGGTATATGAAATAAATTTTTTAAAATTTTATTAATGAAATACATTAAGATAAAAAATTAATATCTTAGAAAATATATATTCATATTGAAGTGGAACTTATATATATTCAAAGGTAATTTAATATTTAGTATGTTGTCTATGTAGTCATAGTATGTGTGTATAAATAGATTAGTGGTAGCTGTCATATCTTTATTTTTTATAGTTTTCGTAGCTGTCATTGTAGAGCAATAAATATATTTTCTCATTCTTCATATTTTTCATCACCTTGTGCATTAATAATTGGTATTTAAAGTTCTGGTTCAACTCAACAGGGAAACACAAGTGAAATAGTGAGACACTGTGTGATTGATTTCGTTTCTTGAATTCCCGTTGAATCTTGAATAGAATCGTAACAGAATCATATTTTTTGATTATGTGGGATTAAGAAACATTGTGTTTGATGAGATGTGAGTGACTTGCACAAGGTTGAAGATGAACGAAAATAGTATTCTGAGCACCAAACTTTCAGTGCTCGATGGCAAGAATCAAAATTGTTGGATGATTCAGATGCATGTGTTTTTTGGCGCTGAAGATGTTCTTGATCTCGTCAATGATGGTTATGTTTCGGTTACACTTTCAGAAAATGAAATTGATGCAGAGAAATGCTCAGTGTGATCTGAAGAAGAAAAATTAGAAAACATTGTTCTACATTCATCAGTGTGTAAATGTGAACGTATTTGAGAAAATCATTGATTCCGCGACGACGAAGGCTACGTGGGACACACTGGTTAGGTGTTACGGTAGTGACGCATCAGTGAAGAAGGTGAAGCTCGAGTCTCTAGGAAAGAAGTATGAGAATCTCAACATAAAGGACAACGAGAAGGTATTATAGTACATCTCCAGAGTGATTCTGATCACTAATGAGATGAAAGCTTGTGGAGAAAATCTTTCTAAACAAGTAGTAATTGAGAAGATATTGAGGTCTCTTACCCCTCAATTTGATTACATTGTTGTAGCAATTGAATATCTTAAAAATCTTGACACCATGATAATAGAAGAGCTGCAAAGCGGTCTAGAGGCACAAGAGTTGTGTCTGACTGAAAGAACTTCTGAGAGGGAGGTTAAGCAGGCTCTGAAAGTTTCTTTTGTCAAGAAGGACCAGAAGCATTTTTGGTCAGAAGCCAAGAAAAAAACATGGTAGGTCTCAGAAGTTAGAAACCTCTACTTATGATGAGAAGAAATAACAGAATGGGAGGGAGAAATACGACAAGAAGAAGGTTTAATATTATTGTTGCAAGCAGTTTGGCCACTATGCTAAAGATTGTTGGTCAAACAAGAGAAGGAAGTCATAAGAAGCAAATATAGCCAGAGGAGATTCTGATGATGAACCTGTGTTATTAATGACTTCTGAGTCTGATGGAAGGTGTTTGGTAGACTGGTGGTATATGGACACTAGCTGCTCAAATCACTTGACTGGAAACAAATAATGGCTGATAGATTTTAACTCCAAAAGGAGAACGAAGATCAGATGTGCTGATGATAAGTATCTTAATGCAGAAGATATGGGAAATGTCAAAGTCAAAGTGAAGAATATGAAGACTGTTCTGATCAAGGATGTTTGGTATGTTCCTGGAATTGAGATCAATCTAATGAGTGTAGGTCAGCTCATTGATAAAGGTTTCTCAGTTATTATGAAGAAGAATCTCTTGAAGTTGTATAATTCTAATTAGAAGCTAATTATGTAATTTGAACAGGAAAGCAACAGAACATTCAAGGTGAATGCGGAGACAACTAAAACATAATTCCTTAGAGCAGAAGATGCTAAAGTTGATAGTAAGTTATGACACAAGAGGTTGGGTCATCTGAACTACAAAAGTTTATGGAATCTGAGTTCTAAGAAGCTCGTGCATGAAATTCTAAAGATTGTGCAACCTGAGAATACATGTGAGGTATGCATGAAAGGCAAGAAATCTAGATTTCCATTTACGTCAAAAGTAGTCCAAAGAGAAAAGAATGTTTTGGGAGTAGTTCATTCTGATGTGTGTGGACCATTTCAAGAACCTTCACTTGGACGAAACACATATTTTGTGTCTTTTGTGGATGAGTTCACAAGAATGAAGTGGGTAGCATTCATAAACTTTAAGCATGATATGTTTACCGAGTTCCAGAAATTCAAGGTGAAGGCTGAGAAACAAAGTGGTCAGAAATTAAAAATTCTCAGAACTGATGGTGGAAGTGAGTATAACTCTACATAATTCTAGAAGTTCTATGAGGAGAATGGAATTGGGCATGAGATTATTGGTCCTTATAATCCTGAACACAATGGTCTTGCTGAGAGAAGAAATCATACTTTGCTTGATATGAAGAAAAGCATGTTGAAGGAGAAGAAGCTTCCTCACACCTTGTGGGGAGAAGTTGTTTCCACCGCAGCATATGTGCTTAACAAATGTCCAACGAAGAAGCTGAAGGAAATAGTTCCTATTCGAAAGTGGATTGGAGACAAGCAAAGTGTTATCCATCTGAAGGTGTTTGGTTCTGTATGTTACAAATATGTTCTAGAAGGTAAAATACATAAGCTGGATGATAGAAGCAAAGTAATGTTACTAGTGGGGTACCACAATACATGTGCGTACAAGATTTATTGTCCAAAAACTAATAAAGTTTAAGTCAAAAATACGTCATTGTAAAAGAGTCATAAGCATGGGATTGGAGCAAGTCTCAATCAAATTTTAATGTAGTGTCAACACCTGAGTTAGCTTCTGAAGATACTTGGAAGTTCTGAAGATGAGTCAGAGTTAGAAGATACTTCAGAAGGTTTTCAAGATGAGTCTGAACTTGAAAGTTCTGAAGAAGAATTAGAGTTAGAAGGTGATTCTGAAGACTATGAAGATGAGTCGGAATTCGAAGGTGATTCTGATCCAAATTTTGATGATGATCTGAAATCTGGTGGTGATCATGCTTCTAGAAGGGAAACCTCTGAAGACATAGGTTCCGGAGGTGATCATGTTTTTGAATGTGGTAATTTTGAAGGTAGTGGTTCTGGACTAGGTCCAGAAGCTAACACGGTTCCAAGTTCTATAGAAGATTCAGAACAAGTTCAGAGGCCACAAAGAATCAAACAAATACCAAGAAGATTTGTAGAGTTTGAAATGTCGCAAGACACTGAAGTTGACCTTGAGGGAGAAGTCATTCAATGTGCCATGTTAGTAGACTATGAACCAGTGGGTATTGAGTAAGCTCTCAAAATGAAAGTATGGTTGAATGCCATGAAAGAAGAACTTGAGGCTATAGAAAGAAACAAGACTTGGGAGTTAACTAAGCTTCCAAACAAGAAGAAAGCCATCAACATCAGATGGATTTTCAAGGTAAAATTTAAGCGAGATGGATTAATTGGAAAACACAAAGTAAGGCTAGTGGCTAAAGGTTTTCTTCAGAAACCTGGGCTAGATTACCTTGAGTTCTTTGCACCTGTAGCTAGACATGAAACAATCAGATTAGTGATTGCAATAGCTGCGAATAGGAATTGGCCTTTGGGAAATATGGTATTTTTCTAGGGATGAATATTTTGTACTCTGAGAAGGATATCATTTTGCACCAGCTGAAGTGTGAACTTGAGCTTCTGAAGAGATTTAAGTTGCAGAATTGTAAGGCTGCTGTCACACCTTCAGAAATTAATCATAAATTGGATTTTGATTCTGAGGTTGAGGATGTGGATGTTACAACCTTCAAACAATTGGTTGGTTTTTTGAGGCATCTGTGAAATACCAGATATGATATTTTCTATGCAGTTGAAATGGTTAGTAGGTTCATAAGTAAACTAAAGTGGTCTCATTACCAAGCTGCTGTCAGGATTCTGAGGTATATCAAAGAAACTCTGAAGTATGAAGTATTATTCCCTTCTGGAAGAAATATAAATTCAGAGCTGATGAGTTACTCAGACCATGATTGGTGTGGAGATAGAGTTAACAGAACACGTATTTCTGGATACTTGTTTAAGTTTATGAGAGGTCTTATTTCTTGTTGTTCCAAGAAGTAATTTGTTGTTGCAGTGTGTAGCTAAGTATAATGCAGATGATGTAACTGCATGCCAAGTTGTTTGACTTCTAAATCTACTGCAAGATTGTTACCTTAAAATTTCTTTAAGGCATTTATTTCATTGTTAGTAGGGGAACCCTGTGAACTGAAAGGAATGTGCCTTCCAGGAGTAGGGATTTTAAGAAGATTAGAGTCAAGAAAATGATAGATGGAAAGTTATTATAAAGAATTAAAGGGAGATCGACGAACAAAAGAGCAAGTAGTCGACAGAGACAATAACAAGCCATTCGATTTTAGTTTCATCGACAAGAATGGAATCCAAGACTTATAGAATTTGGGTTATTTGTCTATGGCCATGGTTGATGTTGAAGCAAAACTTATAGGCTTGATAGATTTTGAAATTTTAATATGACAGTGGTTGCAAGAAGTTTCCTGATCAAGACGCCAACTACGTGGCTAAATTTGAGGAAGAAGTTTTATTAAGCCACATACGTGTCATATTAGTATTATGTTGAAGTACATGTCCAGTTATTATGTAACTACTATAAATAAAAGGGTCTAATATATAATTCAGTGTGTTCATTTTGTACTAAAATCACTTGTAAAACTCCATATTTCCAAGCGTAAAGAAGCAAGAGTTCAAGAGTATTAATGTACGTGAATCACCACATTTATTTCAATGTAGA